AAAAAAAAAAAAGAAGTTGGTGTCCTAGTTATTTCCCAGGTGTTTAATATGGTTTTTCTCTCCTTTGGGCCTCTTCTCTTTTATTTGTGACTATCAATTCAAACATTTAAAAATATATGTTAATGCATTTCAATTACATTCATTATTATTTTAATTAAAATTGTCTTATCTTTTGTCAATGGAAGCCCTTTCATGTTGGATTTGGTTTCCATTTAATATGACCTGAGATTCCTTGGTAACTTCTTTCCCTTCTGGGACAACAGGATACTCCAGGCTCATCTTGCATATTTCCACCCTGCACTGGAATTGGCCATCTCTCCAAGGAATTCCCTCCAAGGAATTCCCTTACCTCTCCAAGGTAAGAAATGATATTTAGACTTGACAGTCAGGGTTTTTGGTATGTTAACTGCACTTGGGTTTTTATTTATCTTATTCTTTTTTAGAGAACATATATGTGAAGCATACATTTTTTTAAAAAAAGTCATGAGCTCATACTGATCTGTCAAGTAACATGCTTTTTACTTATCTTCTTTCATTTCATAACTCTTTTCTTTTACACTTGATAGTCTTGCTTCTTGACAGCATTAATGTAATTATGTTTTCATCATTCTGCACCCTCTATAGGATAGTTTCAAAAGGACTGGTAATAATAGGACAACTACAAATTTGACTATTAATGTTTCAGATTTCTTTGCAGTTCTACTTTTCTGTAGACTATGTTCCAGTAAGTGTAGCCAAAATACTGTTTTAAAGACATTTGAAATAAATCTTTTCTTTGTCATTGTTATTAACTTGGCCTATCGATAGATTCATTCATATACTTATTTTTATTTTTTTAGGTACTTTTATGCTATTTTATGCTATATTATTTTCAAAGTCAAATCTCTATCACAAAATACATGTACAAATCACACATACTTTTAAAATTTTATAGTTTCTAACAATATATGCTGGAAATTGCTCTAATTAGAGCATAGTTTAACTTTTCCTCTTTTATTTTTTATTTTATTTTTTTAGCTTTACAACAGAATTTCTTTTATTTAAAAAATACTTAAATCACTATCCCACAAAATGTTCAGAAACACAGGTAACTATAGAAAGTCAATGTGCATATACTGCTTTTATTATTATGGTTGTTAGCTGAATGAGAACAAATAATAGCTAAAAATTTTCAAATGATAGAAAAACACATTTGGGTAAGTTATGACACAATTTTTTGAGTACGTAGACAATAGAAATGTATTTTTTTTTTTTTGCACCAATTGCAAATGCAAAGTTAACGATAAAATCAGGGAGCTGAAAGTTCAAAAGCGGCCTTAAATATATTCACTATCTTTTAAATTTTAGATGAAGGAGCTGAGAATATAGAAAAAAAAAAACAAAACCCCAACATTTACACCATAACAGTCTTTTTTTATTTATGACTTCCAATTTTAACTCTTTTTTTTAAAAGATTTATTTATTTATTTTGAGAGAGTGAGAATGAGAGACAGAGAGTACATGAGAGGGGGGAGGGTCAGAGGGAAAAGCAGGCTCCCCGCCGAGCAGGGAGCCCGATGCGGGACTTGATCCCGGGACTCCAGGATCATGACCTGAGCCGAAGGCAGTCGCTTAACCGACTGAGCCAATTTTAACTCTTTTCTAAAAGCATTAGGGGTGTTGAGACCCTTATTGTAGATTCTGTATCATCTCCTCTTTGGCTATGAGGTGTGTAGTTTTGTTAACTAGAGACATCGGTGAGTTCAGTTTCTGAGACCAGTCATTTAATAAATTATTTGGATCCTTGGGTCTCTGGAAGTTGATAATTCCTGCCAACCTGTCTGCTTTAGCAAAGATGGTCTTGTTAACTGCTAGATTAGAAAGAAAAGCTTCTGACTCATCAACATACAGAGCGAGAAGCTGAGCCATCCTCTTCATTGTTATCCTCGCGTAATACTTGGCCATTATTCTAATATTATGTCCAACAATTCTGTTCTTCAAGTCTTTCCACCTTCTTTCACCTTCCTCTGTAGAACCAAAAACATCAGTTGCTGGACTCTCAAGAGACCCTTTTCTTAATTCCATTCCATAGTCTGCAACAAGTGTGGACCAATGCATCGGCTCCATTGTGGTAAAAAGCTTTAAAAGATCCTTTATTTAGGAGTTTCTTCTAACTTCTTGTCACCACTTATTCGGTGAACCAAATCTGACTGTTCGTTGTCAAAAGGAGCCAAAATCACATAGAGGACAACACTTTTCAGAGGCTCTTGCCACTTTTCACTTTCTCCCTATGTTCAGGGAGTACCATGTAAGTACCATTTGTAAGCTCTGTACTGCTTGCAAATAGACAAATAAGATCCCTCATGTTGATCCAGCTGAATCATTAAGTTATAATATTTCAATTTTAATTTCTCTGGAAAAATTTGGTGTTAATTTTCTTGCTGATGATTTGTGTACGAATATAATCCTTCACAGCTAGGCAGAGCCTCATTTGCTCCAAGATAAACTCCACTCTCTCCTTCTTTTCCATTGACTGGTTGGTTTCCACCTGTAACTTCTGTAAAATGGAGGCAGCCTCTTTCACATCACTGTTTTGCTCTTTTATAGTTGCTACCGTTTTAGTCAGTCAAGTATGCTCAATTTCAACATAAATCTTTCCTTCTGTAACCATTCATAGAGCATCAATTAATTGAAGTTTGACTGGAAGATCTGTGATTTCCTCAACCTAAGTACAGCACTGTTGAACCATTTTTGCAACAGCTTGTTTTAACTGACTCCGTCTTTTTGACAAAAGCATAATATTTTCATTAAGTCAATCCCATTCTTTAGCCTCATAGCACATCTTCACCACTGCAACTAAGATGCGGGATGTAGGCACAATATCAGAAGCATTGTGGGTCTGTTTCTCCAAAGAGAGAAGGGTTTGAATGACTTCTTGAAGTCTTCCTTTCTTGGCCAACTTCTCGCACTCGGGCAGTCGCTGATCCACCATGGTGCTGTAGTCTACCTCCATCTTGACGATGCGCCCATCAGCTCGCTCCGAGCCGTGGTCCGCCTTGGTCCCTGCCCGAACGTCCCTTGATGTTCCCCTGCTTTGGCCCTTCCTCTTTTATTTTTAAAGCTGAATTATGCTCCATTGGGTAGCTATATTCTAATATATTCAACTAGTCCCTGACTGATGGACATTGGGCTGATTCTAATATTTGTTACTATAAGTAAATATATAATGAATAAGTTTCCTAAATATTGCTTCATATTTTGGAGGTGACTCTTCAGGGTAGATTCCAGAAATGGGGTTTCTGGGTCAAGGAAAAAATTCAAGGACAAATTTGTTGGATGCTAAGTCCCACCCTATAGAGTTTTTCACCCACCATCCATGCCTGAGGGCTCCTGTTTCTCCACAGCCTCCCCAACAAAGAATATCATCAAACATTTAGATTTTTGTCAATGTTCTAGGAAAGAAATTTACCTCAATGTGCTTTCTCTTATTGTAAAGGAGGCAAACCATTTTTTCATGTTCATATGCCAACAAAGAATGTGGTCAACTTTGGGGTTTTTTAGAATAAAGCCCCTAATCAAACTTACCATGTAACCTGCCATTTTGAAAACTTCAATTTATTTTTAGGTTTAAAAACTTGGTAGCAGGAAAAGGGAAAGATGAGAATGAATTTCAAGTTCCATTTTTCTATAATTATATTGGGGGTGCTCCCTCAGATAATTAAATCTCTCAGTGTACCTGGCAATACACAAGGAAGAAACTCATTGTCATGGTCACCACAGTGCCCTAGGGAAGAAGCCGGCAGCTCCAGATGGCTTAGGGCCAAAATTTGGGGTATGCAGAACAGCAGCAGGGAGAAAACAAAACAAACATTTTGCAAATCAATACACAAGAAAGTGATTCAAACACTAAGTCCTGGTGCTCAGCTCTGAGCTTTAGTGAAACAGGAGTCTAGTCCCCATCTGCACAGTCTAAACTGATTCCAATATGGATTCTAATGGAAGGAGAAAGTTCCAAAGACTCCATTTTACAGATGTTTACAACATCAGGATCTCTGTGTTAGGAGAAAAATATCATTTGGCGTGAACTGTAACATGTTGAAGGAACAAAAATGCAGCACTTCCTTTGTGAAGAATCCTTGTCAGAAACCTCTAATGGAAGAGCAAATAATTGAGGGAAAAGATTAATTTCTTTTTGATATTAAAATTATATTTATTATCAAGGCTTTAGATGACTAATCATAAACTTTAGATTGAAATTGACAAATGATATCATTAACCTAAGTCCTTCAGTTTTTTGGTGTGATTCACAAAAACATCACTAGAAACCTAAGGCCAAGAAGTTAACCAGAGGAAGAAAGAGATTTTCTTTTTGTTTTTAAATATACCTCTGCCAGAAGCCTCCACAAGCTCACAAATGAGTTGTTAAATTTATCTCTTGACCTACAGGCAACCTTACTGGAAATTGAGATAACCACAGGCCAGTTTCCATTTGTCAAAATTTGGTTCTTCCCCTTAGTGTTTTTCCCTGGGATCAAGGGTCACTTCAGAGGCCTTGTACAACTTGCACATAACAATTAGAACATAGAAACCAGCGCTTGGCAGGGACTTTGACTGTGAGCCTTGTGTCAGACAGATGCAAAGAGAAATATTAAATGTATGGGCTCTAGTAGGCATTAGGAACCTGAGGACACATTTCCAAGTGACTGGAAAATGCAATAACCAAGCAGAGACGAGAGTGGGTTGCCAGGGACTTAAAAATAGGCTTACAACCTCACTTTATTTCCACAGATATTTAATAAGCACGGGGACTAGAAGAGCCTGGCAAAGGAGAGGCACTCAGTAAATATTTGTTAAATGAGTAAATGGCTGTGAAATCCTGGAATAGACTTTACAGGAGATGAAATCTAGCTCTGACTTTATTTTTCTCATATGTGTGCCATATTCATGTGCCTTCTTTATTACTTGCCAGTTGACTTATTGCATCTTTCCTTGAAATTTCATATTAAAATGCGCTTCTTCCAATACATTTTCCGATGGATTCCATGAAACAGACAGTATCCATTAGCCACTATATATTGCTCTTTATTTTAAAGAGTCAATTTTATAATAATCTAGGGTCTTCTAAACATATAAATTCTGGTTGCTTACCAGTGACTTGGAATGACGCACTAACACAAGAAATCATTTTCCATCAGTATGGAGTTGGTAGTATTAGTTTGCTGGGGCTGCCATAACAATGTACCATAAACTGAGTAGCTTAAACAACAGAAATTATTGCTTCCCAGTTTTGGAAGTTACACATTGGAAATTAAGGTGTTTTCAAGGCCACGTTTCCTCTGAGCTACCAGGGAAGGTTCTGTTCCAGCCCTCTCTCCTAGCTTATGATAGTTCCTTGGCTTGTGGCAGGATAATTTCAACCTTCATGTGATGTTCTCCCTGTGTGTGTGTCTGGTCCAAGTTTCCTCTTTTTAAAAAGTACACCAGTCACATCAGTATGGGGCCCACCCTACTGACCTCATCTGAACTGATTACATCTGCAACAATCCCATTTTTTCAACCAAGTTCACTGTCTGAGGTACAGGTGGGTGGTTAGAACTTCAACTTACATATTTTTGGGTGTCACAAGTCAACTTGTAACAGAGATCTTAGTGGTGAGATCCTCAATGGAAATTAATGAATTGTTACTAAATGCATGAGTACAGTCTTTGGCTGATAGAGCTTAACGTGGGATTTATAGAACCCATTATCCTCTCTCATCATCTTGTAAGGTGGACATGGCTGAGGAAGCCTGTCAATATGGGAAATTTTAGAGTTAAAAATTGTTCTTTTTTTTCTTATTGCAGAAGAAGGCTTTTGAGAGTGTGCCAATAAGAATAAAAGCTGTAACTTGGCCTAAAGAAAATTATCTTATTGGGATGCCAGAACACATGATTAGAGTTTATGAAGCAACATATTGGTTAAGTGATACTCTTCTGATCTGACAGTAAAAAGGATAAATGTTTAGATTGCCATGATTATAAAAATTTAAAAGTAAGGAGCTATTGACTTCCTAGATGACAGCCTTCAGAGCTGGATAGACCCTCTCTCTCTAGTAAAACCTCCTTTTAACTGCTAAAAATTATTAAACAAGACAAAACAAACAAGAAAACCTCTTAAAGTCTCTGAAAATTGTTTGTAGGGACTGTATCAAATGGAAAAGCATCTATTTAAGAAAATCTACTAAATCTCTGTAAGAACAGCACGGCGCTGTGTTATTGAACCATGAGGTGCTGACATTCATTCCTGCCTCCCCCCAGCTCAGTGTGGCAGAAGCTCTATTCTGGGTGGTATGGCTAAGAAGAGGGGGGCTCCCTCTCCTTCTGCCTTGCAGTCTGGATGTAGAGTTTTGCCACGGAAGGGGCATGTTACTGGCATCCCTCATCACCCCAGCTTCCAGCTTTGTACTGCAGAAGCTCTAGTCCACGTGGGTATAGCCAAGAGGACAGGGCTCCCTTCCCCCACTGATTCCACACGTGTAGAGTCAAAGCTCTAATCCAGACAGAGCTGGCTGAGAATGCTGGGCTCTGGGCTCTCTCCCCTCCCCAGGTTCACTCATAGGCCAGAAGATCCATGCTGGGAGGGACAAGCTGAGAAGACAAAGTACCACCCCTACCAAGAGCCCCAATAATACCACCAGGGAATCCTTCTGAGAGAAGTGGGTTGCTGATGCCAGCCCCAGCTTTGGTACAGAGGCAATATGGCTCTCCTGGGGGAGGGGCAGGCATGAAGAGCAGAAAACTCCAGTGTGTCTGTGTAAAGGGGACTGACTTTACCAGGAACATAGCATGGGGAAGTTCCTGCCTAAGGGCATTGTCAAAAATAATGGAGAGCTTGGTGGTGAGCAATTAAGAAGGGGAGCCATGGTACTTATAGCAAGAGTGAAATGGTAGATCAGCTAGAAGTTAAACAGAGAGAACCAAGGAAATAGACTGCTGAGAAGAGCCCTCTTGTGTTGGCAGTGCCCTGCTCCTAAAAACGGGATACAGCTGAATAGGATCAGATATGGGGCAATCTATGCCACAGGGTGTGGTCAAAAACAATAGAGTACTCTGCTAGTAATTAGTGGAGACTAACTGCCAGTCTTGATACCAAGAGGGGCAGACCAGCCAGAAGCCTAATGGGGAGATCAGAGAAAGAGACCCAGAAAACCCCACTAAAGCCACTCTGAATTTGCCAAATTAAGACCAAGATTTGAAGTCTCTGACCTGACATGGTACTTTATGCAGTATATAGTGCTGGCAATAAGATATTTGCTATGTGGTATACGTTAGATCTGAAGTTTTTTGGAGGGAGGAACTAGGATATACAATATATGTTATAATGAAATTTCTTCCTAGGAAAGAATTGAAAACCAAATGTGTTAGAAGAAAGAATGCTAGCGATTCAAAATGAGGTGCATTAATTCTAATGGCTTGTACTTGCACGTCCCATTGTGAAATACGGGGATCCAGATCTTTTCCCATTTATCCAGTTGTATACCTGTTTCTTCTTTGCTACTACATACCCCCTTGATATATTAAAACCAAATTGCTATAGAGGCAACAGGAGTGGAGTTACCTTCACTTTCATTTCTGTCAGGCATGGGTAGGACTTCAGCAATACAAGAAACTTCTTATTGAATCAGCAATTAGAAAAGAGCGAACACATTGCAAAGATGTCAATCTGCTTGGCCAATATTTGAATGAGTGCTTTTTCGGTTCAACTATATCCAGACCATTAGATGGGATTTTTCGAAAAAGACTTTAATCAGTGCTTTGTGAGGTGTGCTAATTGCTTCTGGAGACAATCAGCTGCGATGAAAGATCAGGGCCAGAACTCCCTTTGCAGGGACAGTCAGGCTTCCTGCATCCAGTGTGAAGGTCACGCCTGGCATGGGGCTCTCTGGGGCAGGCTCAGCAGAGGCCCTACAGACTCTCAAGGAGCAGTGACACAATACGTTCCCTGATCCTTGTTGGGGGTCCCTAAGGATTGGAGTTAACTAAATTTGTCATCAGGAATGTTTCGGCTCACGTTGGCGATTATTTGCTCTTCCCTAGTCCTATAAAAAGGATAAGCATTTTGATGTCTTGACATTTCATTAAGCATAGGTATATTCTTAACAGACAGTAGCCTCTCTGTCTTCAGAATCTCTATAAATAGGCTTTGAACAAAATGACTTAAAAAGAATTTTTGAATATGGTACCTATGGAATATCCAAGCAATTAATAGAAAAAAATAAAGGCAGTACACAGAATTTGAAGGTATAAAATACACTTTTGTTCCTATCACATTCACTACCAGTTCTTTTGGGATTCTTTTTGTTAGTACAATAGACTGTCTCTCCTCCTGGCTCTCTCCAATGGGTTAAGCACAATATGTGCATGAATGGCGTTAAGTAATCTCAAAAAGTTGACTAAAGATGAGCCCATTTTTTAAACAATTATGTAGCAAAATATACACGTGAAACCACTCTTCTGTCTCCTCTCTTCTGTGATGTTATTTTCCTTAGAATTTTCTGGAATTGTCTTATTTCATTCACTTCTTAGCAAATATTATTGAGTACTTATCATGTGCTAGGAACTCTGTAGAAGTTACAGAGTTACAAAGACAACCAAAGCATGAGTCTTGACTCCAAGAAACACAGAGCTTAGTGAGGAAGAGAAAAATAAGTTATATGCCAGTGGATGTGTGTTCTACTCATGGTCAGGTAACATCTGAACAAACTCTTAAAGGGAAAGATTTTGCCAGACTAAAATGGAAAGGGGTCAGGGTTGAGGCCTCATGAACAGTAAGTGAATATCTATGTAGGCTGGAATACTAAAGCCTGTTAGTTGACCTTCAGGTAGGCTGTGTTTCTCAAGAAGGGTATAATTGGAAATGCAGAAAGACTTGGCCAGCCAGCAGGCAGAGCTTCTGACAGAATAACCTTCATTCAATAATGCCCATCTCTTTCTTTGCAACCACAATTTTTGTTGACCCTAGAGCATATTGCAAATTTGAAGCATTCTTATTTATCAGATTTAATTCTGTATTTTTCATATATTTCCCAAATCACCCCTACTCTCAAAGAAAAAATATATATTATTTGTTATATTAAAGATACTCAAAAGAATTGTCACCAGTCATGAGGGCAACTCTTAAAGAGGAGTCCCTGTTGTCCTTTTAGTTATGACACTAACTCACTAAGCTCACCTATGGAATCTGTTTTGGAGGTAACAAAAATCATTTGAAATTTATATGTTGGTGTAATTGCTAGAGAATCAGACTTATTACCTTATAAACTTGTTCCGTGTGGGCTGATAGATTCTTCCAGAGGCACTGTATTCACTCCCTGCTATTGGCTTCGAAGGGTGTTCTTGACAGCCTGTATTTATTGTCATTATGCCTAACTCCTTGCTTACTAATTTGTAGGTAAATGTCTCTGAAGTGTTGTGTCACCTCACTGTTTTCAGGGATCTTTCTCCTTCTGGCAGGATAAACTTAACTCCTTTGCTCATCCTAGCCAGTGGTTCAGTTACACAAATAAAACAAAAAATACTGAGTCCTCACCTGGATTTGCCACTTCCCATCCTGTCTTTGGGCTATTATTTTCTCCCTTGGTAAAAATATGTCAGCAGCTCCAATGGTAAGTTACAAGGCTACTATTTCTAGAACTTTTTTTTCTGCCCCTGCAGCCATTCTCACTGTAACCATGATCTGACAAGTTGAACACAGCCAACAACAACAACAAAAAAAATATGAAATACCTGACACACTTGATATCTTACAATTTTTTCCCAATGTACACTCACTTTACCTCCAGAAAAGTGAAGTATTTTCCTGGAATGGTTTTGCTTGTGCCTTTTTCTGCCTGCAAGGAAGACTTGACTCCAACCTGCTCCTCCAAACTTTTCCCACAACTTCTGATCATCAACCCACTTGTCACCACCAGACACATAAAACAATTTGCTATTCCTGAAACATGCCCTCGTGTCCCGTCTTTGACACATGCTGTTTCTTCCTCTTGAAAAGCACTCCCCTCCAGGATTACACTTGCTGCAGTCAGATTCTGAAGGTCCAAGAATGATGCGCTAATACCAAAGACAATTTGCAAAGGAGACTTGTGAATTAGGGCTCAGAATTCTCGATTGAGTCCCCTCCTCACTAATTATTTATTAAAATGCAAGAGAACGTGAGATGATTTATGGGTAAATATGGCTGGTGGTATAATGGAGTGGGTCCATGGGCTGACTCTGCAGCCAGATGGCCTAAATTTGAATCCTGGTTCTGCCCTTTTGCCTTCATGAGCCCTTAGATGGGTTATTTTTCCTTTCAGGTGACATTGGGATAATAAAGTACCTACTCAATCTTCTCACACTTAGGTGTAAAATTGTGATAACGTTAGATTAAAGGAAATTCATACATTAACAATTAGAACAATGTTCTAATTATTAGGAAGATAAGAGTCATTTCAGAAATGTTAACTATTTAATACTTACCATCTTAGCAAATGCCAAATTACCAATTCACCTAAAATATAAATTAGTCGGACCAGAAAATAAAAACCCAGACCCCAAATTTCTGCTCTTTCAAAGCCTAAGCTGAGAGTGTCTCAGTGGCTCCCTTTACTCTGATTAAGTGACTTACTCTCCTTCTCCTTCCCTCTTCAGGCACTTAAACAGTTCCCATGGCTCTTTGCTGTGTGCACTGAGGATCAAAAAAGGTGCCTGGGGCTTCAAGTATATGAACAGAACTCTCTGTAGGTGAGAGTTTCATGAGGTAGGGCAAAGGCTGGGTGGGAGTCTGTTTGGTTTGGAGCATCGACACATTCATTTACTCACCCCACCCATGCCCTGGTCTGTGGTGTGTGCATCCACACATCTCTCTCCCCACAACTCAGACTCCCCACTGGAATATTTTGCAAATTAACAAGACCCAGTGCCTAAAATCCTGAGTGATAAAGAGAGATGCTAAAAAATACCCTGTGGTAATAAATGAAACTTCCCTCCAGAATACAAGCTCATAAGGTTCAGTACGAGTTGGGCACTCAGCCAAACTTCTGTAACAAAAAGATCTTTTACAAATGAATTTTCCACCTTTAGGATGCTGTAAGTGTCAATGGAATCAATACCTAATTGAAACCTTCCAGAATCGAAGTTCTGACCTTCCAAATGCCCTCCCTCTCTCCTTCCTTTAATGGCTCCTCTGCAGTACTCTTGACAACATTAAGAATCACCTGATTACCTTTATTGCTATAAACTCTAAAACAAACCGCCTCAGCCATATCAGCCAAAATATATCACCCCTCAATAACTCAGTATCATATTTTATTCTGCTTCTCAAAACCTAGTAGCTGGCATTTTTATTCTTATATATTCACAACTGCTTTTAAAAAGTGGTTATCTGAAAATAAATGCTACCACTTTGTGTAATAGTGTCACGTTCAAAGTGATCTTGTTCCAGGTCAATGACCACATCCATTCATTACGGCATATTCCTATTGGAATAGAGTTAAATACATGGCATACTTTGAGTTCTTCTGCTAAAATTTCAAACCTCAGCAGCAGGCAAATAATAAATGCTGTTCTTGGCCATTTAGGATGAGAAAAGTGGGCAAAGGTATCTCCAAGTATAATGCTACAAAAATTTAAAGAATAACACTTTCCTTAATAGTAGTCTTCAGAATTTGCATAATATTTAAATGCTTTTGAGGAGCTTTATCATAAAATCATAACATAACTGGAAGATAAGATACTGTTGTCTTTCTGACCCTGACTTGACTTTTCCTCTTATTCCTGTTGTTTAACCTCCTGGATCTCAGCTTCCTACTTGGAAAATGGGAATAAGAATACAGATTTTAACTGTGGAAAGAGGAAGAGATGTGATAGAGGTAGAAATGCTTTGATGAAAAGATGTCATATAAATGTTTATCACTGGAACGTCTACTTAATTTGGAAATCTATTAAATATCCACAAGGAAATCATACTTAGAAATTAAGACATCTTATTATTGATTCTGAATTATTTTCTTTTGCCTTAGCAACAAAAATAAAATATTTCTCAGGTAAGGAGAAGATGCAAAGGAAGAAAATTTGGAATCAGCAATAAATAATAAAATAAGAAAGCTGAGATCTGAAATATATCATATTCAGAGTAATTTTAATTTTTTTCCTCTTAAAAAGAAAACAATCACTTTTTCTCAACTTGTCTAATAAATTTGGATTTTCTCATATCTGGCTTCATTGTTAACTATATGTACTATATGCATTTGATGTTCAGTACATCAGATCATTTAATTTATTTTTAAATATGAAATGATTTTAAAGGATAATTGCTACCTTCACATAAGATCCACCAAAAAAGATGAACAGAGTATCCATAAAACATTTTCTGTTGGAAATAAGCATGATTTGTACTTATGTTGAATCTTAGATTTAGAGATGGTGTAGTTTGAGTCTTTTGTTGGATGCATTAATCACCTCCCTCTGTAGTAGTTTGTGGAGGACCTACTATGTGAATGACTGGTTGGCACTAAGCCCAGAGCCGCTGCTAATGATAGCAAAGATGCATCGTGAAATCAAGAGAGGGAAGTCCTGGTAGCACATGGGTGGTGGTTAGAGACCAGAGCTCTTCTTTTGCTGACTTAGTGGACCAACTTCAGTTTCTCTGTGTGTATATGGGTTTAAACCCCACCCAATAATCCACAAGAAATCACTGAGTAGTTCCTTGAAAAACTTGGAAACACCACAAATAAGTGGGAATGAATGAAATGAGAAAAATACAGCCCCTGAAAGTTCACATAAATTGTACATTTCTGTTACTGCCTGGATGTTTGCTTAAGTGGAAGAAGCCCCCGCACTCAGATTTAATTTCCTGAGGATTTCCTTTCTCTTTCAACATTTACAAGGAACTTGCCTTTTCTTGATAATTTTATTATAGGAATGGTTTGTACTCTTTTACATGTTATCACAGACATTGTGCAAGCTTTTCTTAATCAATCTTATGCTAAACTCTTATTGAAGGGGCTCGAGGTAAAGAAAGTGGCCAAATCACCTTCAAGTAGCCTCCTGATGATACCAGTCTTTGGATTTTGCTTCCCAAGATGCCACAGCACATTTGGTGTCTAGCATTGCCCCCTTAACATAAGTGTGTGCTTAAATTTGATTATTCCTCAAGGATGCCTGGACATATTTGAGAGAATAGGATGCTGCCCGATTCCCTCAGCCAGGCTCTCATCGTAACCAACAGAGCAGGAAGGCAGCAGGCAATTCTTCTGAAGATAGAAGAGTTCTCTTTGAAGCATGATTGTGTATTTAATTATGTGAGAACAGTAAGAGGAAGCATATGTAATTTTTTTGAGGCAAAATTAAGTGCCAGATCTTGAGCTCAGTGCTTTACATGTGTGACGCCATATTTCATGTTCACAACGTTCATTGTGACACTTTAGGTAGGTCCCTACTTCAGAGTGAATAAATGGAGCCTCTGAGAGGTTAAGACCTTTGCCCCAGTTTTCAGAAGTTGATATTCAACCTCAGAACCCAGGTGATGGGTTCTTCCATAGCCTCTCATGGGGTTCTGCCTGGGGAACCACCACAGGATGTTTGGGCAGCACTGTTCTCAGGATGGAGGATAAGGGGCTGGTCAGGACTAATAATGCATTCTGGCTCGGTTGACACTGGAGCCTGAAACAAAACCAGAAGTGGAAGGCAGCAGCCCAAATCTATCTATTCTCATTTGACACACACATATCCAAATGAGTATACCAGTGCCTGGGAAATTTGCTACAATGCCCTAGGGCACATTTGTAATAATCACATCTCCTATTTGTGCTTTGAAATTAAGTAGGGATCAGCAGCACAGGACTTGGCCTACAGTAGGCACCCTATAAATACTTGTGGAAAGAATGAGGAAAGCAGATGTTTGCCCTCTTAATTTTGCAAACCAAAAGGGAGCATTTCCTTGAAACCCTTTTGGGATGGTGATTAGTTCCATCCTGAAAAGTGTAGTTACTTTTTGGCAATTTTAGTAATTTGGAAAATCTGAAGCACCTGACGGCATGTGATGACCATAAAATAATTAGATACCTCTTGAGCTCAATATATTGCTATCTTACGTTCAGAGAAGCTGACAAGGTGAGCTGACAGAGAAGTGTGGAGTGTCAGTGTCAGACAGGACCTCTGACTCCCACGTTGTAAGCCCTGTCACTGACTCCTTAATATCGTGCCTTGTAAAGAAGCTCCCAAATTCTGCTCAACAATTAGCAGGATTACTTAAAAGGGCTCACCGGGGATAAGAGAATAATGTACTTTGCTAATTAAATTGAGGTGGATGATTGAATGGTAACTGTAGGATTTTGTTGGTTTTGTATGATGAAAGTAATATTCCCCAACAAAATTAATAGTATTGTATTCCATGTGATAAACATTGAATTGGACAGTTTTCAAGCTGGAAGGGAGTATAGTAACCATTTAGCATGCCTTATTTCACAGATGAGAAAACTGAGCCCCAGCCATGGTGATATACCAATCACTTAGCTACTCAGTAGTAGAGTCAAGTCTCAAATCCACTGCCCACCATCCATTGACTTGTCATATTCTATTCCCTCTACCTCTATAAGTAAATTTTTGTTGTGAATATATGCAATGTCCATATGGAGTTCCAAGAGAAATAATAAAATGCCTTTCAACTTAAGAAATTGAACATTATCAATGGCTATGAAGCCCCATTCCCTCTCTACCTCATTCCCACAGGCAAACACTTCCCCGAATTTCAAGTTAATCATTCTCTTGTTTTTCTCCATAGCAGGCTACCTCCCTTGATTTGCAATATTTCTTTTATTATGAGAGCCAAATGCACAGATGTTCCCCGAAGCACAATGGATATTTTATAGCTCTAATATAAGATCAGAATTTTAAAGCCATAAAAATAGCCAATTAGGCTTCCAGATTAATCTTGCACTTGCACCCCATTAGTCACTGATTCACTCTCTTTGGCTCTGAGATGACATTGCTGCTTTTGACCATTAAGAACTCCCTTTTTGGCATTTCCACATCCTTTGAAAATGCAAAT